TATTGTTTATGAATGATAAATTTAAATTTTTATCGGAAAAAAAATTTAAAAATTAATTTTAATAAAAAAAGTAAGAAATTAATAAAAAAGAAATTTATAAAAAGTATACATTTGAAACTTTTTAAAATTTACTGTTTAAAATCTTTTTTAATGTTAAAAAGAAATTAAAAAATATAAATATTTAAGAAAAAAATTTAAACTTATGAAATATAAATAATATCAAAAAACTGAAACTCTTACAAGTTTCACTAAACATGCTTTAAATCTCCGTTGTAAATATGCTAATTATCTAAAATTCAATGATACAAGAAATTATTTATCAATTAAATACCCATTATAAGCCACAAGGAGAAAAGGAAATAAAAACCTTATTTTAAATTAGTTCATTGAATTTTCCATTAAATGTGCAACAAAAACGGAAAACCATGTACATTTGCAGGAATCCTCAAATCTGAACTGAGACTCATTTAGGTTTCAAAGGACAACAAATGCAAGGCTGAGGCATCCAAAAATTGAAAGGAGATTACAGGGAAATGTAGGCCGTTAGGAGTTCCCACCGTTTGCAGAATGCTAAGGAAGCACACCAACCACCTCACAGAGCAACAGTGGTCACACCTGAGTTCGAGGTTCAAGCCCCCTTGTAATCCCATACACCAATCCCCCCACCCCCACAATTACCCAAGTTCAAAAAAAAAAAAAAAAAGGGAGAGAGAGAGAGAGAGAGAGAAGGCCAAAAAAATAAATAGGGCAGTATCAAAACCATTCCCAAGCTATTGTGGTTTGTCCTGTGTCGGATAATCTACCAACTATCATCAGATGATTTTTCTCAGCTATGTCAAGCAAATTGCTTGCCACTCAAGATCAAATGTTGAGACTGATAATACCTGGTTGTTCTTCCCATTAAACTTTTCATTGGCGTAGAATCTGCTGTAGCTGAAGCACTTGATTCCTTTGTTCTGGAGGCAGGAGATTTATCTGTTCTGGAGTGAGACTCATGACCTGCTGAAGTAGGGCCTTCTCCATCTCAGGAGTCAACTACACAAGGAGCAGGAAGGTCATATCACTAAGCGCATATGAATTGAGCTACCAATAAATGCTCTGCTAATATGAAATTCAAAAGCATGATTTAATTACCGATGCAGGGCGAGGGGGCTGATTGCCCAGGCCCACCTGTCTAGGAACCAATGGATATGATCCTGGAAGCTGTGCAATTGCTGGAGTGTCTGATTTGCCAGATATCCAAGAAGATCCTTTATCTACTTGCATGAAACCTCCAAACTGGTTGCCAAACTCTGTCACTAGATGTGAGCCTCCAGCCTGAAAGACACAAACATCAGATAAAACAAAAGGTAGTAAACAGGCCAAATCAATCTGTTAAAGAAAATTCCGAAGTACACCTTTAAGTGTCTATCAGTCAAACGCAAAACATGACAGTAGGACAGCTGAACGGTCAGACGATGACTACTTTAGAAAAGGGCTAACAAAGATAGTCAGAAAGAGCATTATTTGATCAAATCTTAAAATGTCAGACAATGACATTTTCACAGAAAACCTTTAATAACGAAGTAAATTAAAATGTCAAAGTTTAATCAATCTCAAAGCAGTTCACCATGGCTCAAGCTCTATGCAACTGAGGAAGATACATTATTTAAGCGTCACTGGTAGAATGATGTCAAACTTGGTGGGAAGATTTATTTCCACCAAACAGCATTCCACCCTATGCAATTGTTTCTGAAATAAAAAGGGAAAGGAAGCAAAGCATTCAAGAAAATAGAACAGTATGCTCAACCTAAGCTTGCCTACTCTCCTTGGTTGAGGCAAATGTTAAAGCTTTGCATATTTGTAAGGACGAATCATAGACAAAAAGAAAAATTAAAAAAAAAAAAGCATCATAAATACGAATATTTTCAACTCCATTTTTTCCCTAATCATAGACAAAAAGAAAAATTAAGAAAAAAAAAAAATCATAAATATGAATATTTTCGACTCCATTTTTCCCTAAACAAATAGGAATTCCAGTTATTCATAACTAGTCCAGTGAGATTGCTTGGATATATGAAATTATCTTAATCAAAACACATCATACAACGAAAGCACAAGCATACCTGACTTTGATACATTGACTGATGTGGTGGCTGTCCCTGTGGAAATGAAGCCCTAATGCCAGCAGAAAGCCTATTACCTGACTGAGAAATTAAACAATAAGGATAATGAATCAAAAAATTTTACAACCAAGATAATCAGAATAGACTTGTAAACTAAAACTTCTGACTTACATGATACATTGGATGTGAAAGATGCTGTGGACCACCAGGGTGCTGGAAACCCTTACTGGGGCCCATTGATTGGGCATATTGATGACGGAAAGGTGCTGCTGAAGGCTGTCTTAGTTGTGGTGGCAATGGTGGTTGCAAAGGCAGATTAGAAATTCCAGTTGTCTGTAATGGCAGTTGCAACTGACTGGAAGCTGTGGGTGTCTGGGTTTGATGAAGAGCAGGTGGATGTGAAGCAGGATGAAGAGGAGGTGTAGGTGCACCTCCAAACTGGGAAGATTGGGGAAGAGAAAGTGGAGGGTTAAGATGTCCCTTAGTCTGCAGTGGTACTTGTAGGGGTTGTGATGGTGTAGTCTGAGACGGAACATTTACTGAAGAAGCAGTAGCAGAGATGATTTGAGTCACAGGTTGGTTTTGCTGCAGCTTTCTAATAGGAGGTTGGATCTGTGGCACTGATACACCTGCTGGGTCCTGCAAGTCAACTTGACCAGGTAAGGATTGAACAGGCTGGATTTGTGACTGTGAAGGAGGCTGTGCTGATTGCTGAGGATGCTGTGATGGTGGTGGCTGAATACCTGCAACCTAAACATACACTTAAATTCAATACTTAGTCATAACCCTAGGCAGGTGCACCAATGTGAAGCTGCAAAGAAGAATTCATACTGATCAAAAGCATACCACTTGAGGAGGCTGCACCATTCCAAGCATGATCTGAGCCTGGAGAACCATAGCAACAAAAGAGAAATTGATAGAAAATAAAGGGGAAAATTAAAGGTTCTATTGAACAATGTCAAACAAAGATGCGATGATAAACAACTATAACAAAATTTTGCAGAATAAGAGCACCTAGACATCTTAACCATTTCTAGCAACAGATAAATACTTCAATAGAACCATAATGTCATAAAGAACAGGAATATGAAAGGCAACCACCAACCTCAACCTTCTTACTCAAATTGGCCAGCCTCTTCAGACTTAGATAAAGAGGACATGAGGTAATCCATATGTAAAATTTGGACAAGAAAAATGATATATTATTCTCTAGAAGTTAGGCTAGAAAAGTCATACTGAATATATCATAGCCAATTAAGAGTAATGAAATTCAAATAATCTAAAGGGCTTTATGTTTAACAGTCCAGATTGCACAGTAAAAGCGCAGTCCACCCTATGAATTTACTAAAATATCCTTAATGAAACTTCATTAAGTGTATTTTAGTAAAATTTCATTGAGGGTATTTTAGTAAATTCATAGGGCAGGCGGCACTTTTAATGTACGGTCTGCCTGCAAAATACTTTTTCATAATCTAAACATGATTAACTACTTAAATTTCAATTACTCAAGATAACCTGGGCCTAGCAACCAGCAAGATTGACAGATTGACCAGCCATCAAACTAAAAGGCACTAACTATTCTCATCTTTTGCCAGTGATCCATGGGAGTCAAAGTGTCCTCCATACTCTTTATGTTGCTTTTTTCAAACTAGAAAGGCAGATTCTACTCCAGTGATAAGAAAAAGGGAAAAAAGGGGGAGCGAGGGGGGGGTGATGCAATGAAAACCTTAACAGTAACTCTTTCCACAAGTTGCCTTTAAATAGCGAATAAAAATGTACAAATTCCAAGAGATTGCCAATGGTATCTATAATCCAAGGCATGTCCGTCATCTTCTTCATATTGAATCCATTGAAATGAAGTGACAACAGTAACACCTCAAGTAAGGTTAAAGAACTAACATTGTCCCCAATGGTATCACAGCTCAGATATTCTAACATCAATAAAGTCCCTAGGCTAATGATCTTAAGAGCAATAAGGCATCAACTGTATTCTCCAGAAACAACACTTAGAGTATTAGTGCAACTATTGAGCCTCATGGAGATTAGGATAATTGCTATTTAACCGTTACTTAAGGCTTTAACTTGGGTGTTAACCCTTTTTGTGCCCATCCTTAATAAAGTCATATTGCCTCTCTTTTTTTCATTTTAAATAATTTCCCACCCCCTATTTCCAGCGAAAATGCTATATCCCAACCAAATCTGAATACCTACGTTTAAAGCAATTCTCCCATTCTCCCAAATAGGCAAATAGCAATGCAGCAACTGGTTCAAAAACTCAAACCATGAAGAGAATAGGCCAGCAACACAACAATTTAGGACAAAAGAACGTAACTTCAAACGGTAACCACAACTGGGTATGCAGACAAAAGCAAACCTGGAAAAGGGCTTTAGTCAAGGGAGGGTTTTGTTTTAGGATCTGCCTCGCTTGTTGCTGGTTCTGCTCGATAAGCGTCTGCAAAAATTCAACAAAAAAAAGAAGAAGAAGAAGAAGAAGAAGAAAATTTTATAAATAATGAGTCTTTAGGAGCCACTGAAAGACATTATGGTATAAAAACATATGAAAGTGTAGAGATTAAAAAATGAAATCGAGATCGACAGAAAGTGCATGCGAGCGTATTTGTGTCTGCTTTTGTGAAAGCGAAATATACCTTCATCTGCGACATGATGTCGTAAAGTTGGTTCTTCGACATGCCGGCGATGTTCGCTGGCAATTCGTCGCCGGTGACTTGCTTTCCCGCCATTGTTTCTGAGTCGACCTTGAAGTTCTGGGACAAGGAAGTGTGAATTTAAATGCTAAGCTAGGGAATAAGGTTAGCAATAAAGGCCCATTTTTTTTTTCTGGTAGAGAAGATTGGGCCTTTGGACATTTTATTGGGTCTTCGTCATTAAGAACAAATCCATCTTGCACTTGCATTTTTCTTTTTTCTTTTTTCTTTTTCTCCCCACACTTTCATCAAATTTTTATAGTTCAAATAATTTTTCTCCTTCATTTTTTATTGTAAAAGTTGTCTGCAGTCTAATACTGAGCTCTCTTGATTTTTATTTTGTAATTTAATATAATATAAACTATAAAACAGTTTTTTATATATATAAAAAAAAGACAATTAAAAATATTGAAACTTAAAATCTTGCTGCAATGGTAAAGAGGCCTTGAGAGTTGAGACCTTCAAGCCTTGCTAGAGATGGCAAAAATTTTTCAAAACTATATATGTAATCTTCTAATTTTATATTTGGATCGAGAAAAATAGAGGGAAAAAGAAGGAAGAGAAGGGAAATTATATGATTTTCTTTTCTTTCATTTCCTTCTATTTTCTTCCTTTCATTTAAATAAATAATTAAATTAAAGTAACAAATCAAGTAAAGGAAATTTTTCTCCTCTCTTTTTTTTTTTTTTTACCTAAACACATACTCTTAAAATTCAGTTTACTTTTAAATATCATATTCCCAAACACTTTGGAATTTTACATCGATGTATCGTCGTCGTCGTCATCAACATCATCATCATTATTATTATTTTCATAGTACCCATGCTGCTTTCATTACTTAAATTCCAAAGATACATCAGTACAAAATCATAACATATTAGTAACTAATAGAGTCGATACAGAGGGTGGATAATTCAATCCCATCATAAGTCCCTGTAAGTGGACTGCCTTTTGCACCATCACATAGGCAACCTTATTGCACTCCCTTTGAACATGAACAAAAGGTACATGGTCCAGCCCCAACGCAATCCTTTTAACATTGGCGATGAAACTTTCATTGCATTTCACAGTTTTTTATTTCAAAAGATTGGCAGAGACAGAAATTCCAATAGGAATCCTCATTCTCGGAGATAGAGACTAGGGGAAAAGTTTGACACCATCAAATTTCCCATAGAGATCCATGTCCTTGAGGTTAGCAAGGACAGGGATGGCATGGCTCTCTATGACTGCAAAAAATCCCTTTGTTCTTCCCCGTTGGATAAAAGTTGAGCTCTTGACATCTAATTATAGCCATCATTTAGATGAATGAATTCTATAATAATGAGAAGAATATATGATGAAATTTTGTGATGATAGCAATAATCTAAATCAAGAGATCATAATTGTACAATAATGGTGATCTCAACCGAACTTTACACGATATATAAGATACAAAGTTGGGAGAAACATAAGAAATTAAAATGTCTTGGTTGGTACAACTGTCAAGATCATCTGCAACATTCCTTGCATATAGTACAAGGCAAAATCCCAACTTGGTTTTTCCATTTTGAGATTTCCTAGTCACAATTGAGCTTCATGGACAGTAAGCTAGAGCTAACAACAAAGGACAAGGAGAAAGCAGAAGGGACTTCCCTCTTATGCACAATTACAAGACACAAACAGTACACATCTATGTTAACTACGTACACATAAGATTTTGGACCATAATTACACCACTAATTGAGATATATTGTTTCCTTGAAACTCCGTACAATTTGGTAATTAAGATCAATAGTTAGGTTTTCTCAACAAATTCACCAGATAGAGTCCAAATTGAATGGTTGCTCCTGTTGTGGTTGTGGTGCCGTAGAAGGAGAAGAAGAAGCTTGGAAACCTGATGCTAAACCGCTTCCCAATTGAGGCATTCCTTGTGGTAGGAATGTTGAAAATTCCATGTTCGTCATACCATTAAGAACATCTCTTGGTTGATTATAAGTACCTTTAAGTTGCAAGGCCTTGAGAAGCCAAGAATTCATGGAAATATTGGAGCTCAACAAGTTTGAAGGCCATGTTAACGACGGTAGGGTAGCCAAATCCATGTTCAAATTCATATTCATGTTGAGGTTGCCATTGGTATCGGTGGTGTAGCTTTGTGTTGTGAGATTACTGAACCCACTAGAGGAATTGGCAATATTAGGAAACTCAACATCTCCAAATTCATTCACAATTGAATTTGTATCACATGGAGATCCTGGGGATGGCTGTGAGGATGAGGATTGCTGTGGCTTTTTGGCTGCTGCAGTCTTTTGAAATACCCTACAAACTACCCATTCCTCCTGGAAAATTAACATCAATAGAACAAATCAAATGAGAATGATTAATCTCCAAGCAAGGACAAAATTAGAGAACTTCAAAAAGGAGGATTTTAATAGAATCAAAAGTCGAAATGAAAAGATGTTTCAATTGGTAAGAATTGAATAACCTTCTTATATACATGTTAAAACTATATAGTCTTAAAAAGCCTTTTTTTTATTTGTCTTGATAAAAATCACATTAGTCCAAATTTTAAAGTATGAAAAGATAAAAATACCTTTAATGAAGTAGTTATGTATAAAGATTAATTCATTAATGGTGTTTGCCTTTCTACCCCTTGAAGTATTGATATTTTTTCTTGCAAGGTAGATTGAAAAACACTTTTTGTTATAGCTAGGAGTTTTTTCTTTTGGACAATATAATCTATAGTTTTTGTTGTTAATTTACCTTTGCTGGTTTGAAAGGGTGCTTGCTTTCAAGCCTGTACTCATGCATAACCCAATTGCTTTTCTCACCCTTGGGAGCTCTTCCTCTGTAGAAAACTAGGGTTTTTTTCATGCCAACAAGCACACCAGCTCGAAAAATTTCCTTGTCCTTGCCCGTGGTTTTCCAGTAGCCTGCTTCAGTGGCCCGGTTGGTTCGGAGTCCGGTTGGGTACTTTCGATCTTTCATGCTAAAGAAATACCATTCTTTCTCCCCCATTGATGCCTTGGCTACAACATTTAATTACACATCAATTATTAATGGACTTCAACATCATCAATCCTAATTAATTTGTTTGGCCAACCAAAATGAGATGAACAAATAAAGACTCTACTCTTGACTCATTATTTAATTTGGTTTTATAAATTTGAAGAGATTACATGGTAATGGTAGCTATTGCAAAAAAAAAAAATTACTTTCTAGTTTCTACTAATTAATTAGTTAATTATTAATACTATATATATAGTGTAGAAAATTTCCAAATTAATATTTTGGTAAAAATCTACTTAAGTATAAGGGATGTTTTGATGTAGAGGTTTGAAGTTAATGGATAGTAATTTGGATTAATCAAACTAATAAAAGTATATTTAGATTATAAACAATACTAATAACTATCAGGTCATCAAAATATCTTCTACCATCTATTGCATTTGAACCAATAGTAATTATATGGTTAGCAAGAGTTGTAATTAGAAACTAGCCATGGATATACACTTGGAAAGAAATTAACGCGACAGTACTAAGAGAACAGTATACCTGGAAGGTCCCAAGGTTCACATTTGTTGAGATCCACATCAACAATAGCCTTGGATGTAAAATTGAAATCTGCGACCTTGTGGGAGAGATAATACGTGATGAGTTCTTCATCTGTTGGGTGGAATCTGAATCCAGGAGGAAGATTATTAACATCATCCATATATCCCAACTTTCAAATCTCCTGTCACGAAGAAAAAGGCGATAACTGGCACAAAAGCACTGATGATGCAACAGAATGAGCTTATAAAGACACCAGGTAGCGTGCTCTTTATGTTTCCGTAACTCACCCTTGAAGAGGAAGCAGCCATGGCCACCCTTTTTTAAATCTTGATAATTACATCTAACACTTTGACAAACTGTCGCTAGGGTTTCGAAAATGTCAATCAATTCCCAAAAAACCAATCAAAAACAGTGAATTTGACTTTCTTGATGCCGATTTTTCGTCCAAGAATATAGGGAGAGTTCTGAATTTTGGGGGAAATGTAGTGGCAAAATGTGCATGAGGGTTGAGTCTTTGTCACACAAAAATTGATTAAGACTAATCCTGTGTCCAACCACCTTCACCCATTCCTACCCACCGGAACCCTAATCCAATGGGAACGTTCAACACAACCTTAGAGACGCTTTATCAACCAATATATTATCAACACCCGTTGGCATCTGTCATCATTAACATATGAATTACATAATTAAGTACGTACTAATTAAGTGAAATGTGCCAATTTTCTCTTACATTAATTTATTTGTTAGCTAAATCTATATGATTTCCAATTATTGATAATTAATAAAAATAATAATAATGACGATTTTAATATCACATGTTACATTATGCAGCTAAATTCTCAGCAAACTCATTTCTTAATTGAAAAAATATATTAAGTTTAGCAAACTAATTACTTTGGGTGATTGAGATTAATTTAAATAATCTCAAATCTCGACCGCTAATCCAAGTTTTAGGTGTGCAAAAAGATTGTAATCTCAGGGCTGACAACGCGGGGAGGGAATATTTGCAAATTGACAGTTTGAAGATATCCATAAAGAAAATGAATGAAGAAAATTTTACTTAGAGTAGTTAAAAGGATCACCAACCCAGGCGACTGCATATGTCTTTGGTAAGCAATAAGGGTTGAATCTTAATTTTGATGTGTATATTGTACGTGTTCTTAAATGTCAATCCTAACGACAACTTTTAATTCATTCTATCTCCGTATTAATTGGGTTTCTAGAAACACAAATATATGTCTCCTACACAAGGCTCCTTTTCGTCCGGGTAATTGGTGCCCTCTTTTTATGGTAACAGGAAGGTATAGAATTCTGGAAAACTTTTTGGCAAAAAATTGTTTGAGCTAAAATATGAAAAATGATAATCTAATTATAATATAATGTGATATTAAACATTTATAATTATAATATATTATTAAATAATTAATTTTATTTAAAAGATCATTTATGATATTATATATATTTATTTAATTGTTCTATTAAAATCCTACAGATGGCATAATATTTATATAATTGCGGATTTGAAATACTCCATCCATTTCAAAATGTAAAACCTTTGACTCTTTTTTAGGTATTTTTAAATAATACCCTTTTTATAATATATATTTCATTTATCCTAAAATAATTGTTACTTTTTTAACTTTGAGTTTTTTTCCAATTAGTTGTAATTTTTTTATTTTTAAAGATAAACAAATATTTTTTCCTTCTGTATTTCATCATATCTATTTATTTTGATTAATTATATTATCAAAAAAAAGTCTTACTTTATTTTTTAACTTTTTTTAAAGATAATATAAGTAAATATATAAATTATCTCCAAATTCTTAATATTTAAAGAAAAAGTAAAAATATAATAATTATTTTAAGATAAGGGGAGTAAATGATAATTGAAATTTTTTTTGGATAAAATAAAACAACTCAACAAGAATTAAATATAAAAAAATTCTCAATTATCATTCATATTCTATAAAAAAATATTACGTAAAGTTATGTGCAAGAAAATTAAACAATTTATATTTTAAAACAAAGTGAGTATGTAATAGAGATTTGCTGATAGAAGCAACAATAACATCTTGAGGGTAACTTGCTTTTTTATCATTTTTGAAATTAATTTACCTAAGATTTGCTTAATTGGTAAAGAAAAGAAAAGTAAGGGGCAAGCAGAGTACTTGTAAGTATATTTGAAAAAATAAAGTTAATTATCCGTATGAAAATATATATCACACTAGCCAAGTATTGGATTTTTTTTTTTTTTTTTCTCGTTCGGTATTCAAGGATTCGTCTCGATTAATCCGGATTTAACCTGCGTCGTGCACTTGAAAATGGTGAGTGAGTCTCTCAATGGGGATTACTGTGTACACAAGATTTCAAACTCGAAAGCATACTTAAGTTGGAACAAGCCGCTTACAACTTGATCCAACCCCTCGTTGGTAAATATTGGATACTTTATATTATTAGAAAATAGGCTTTTAGCAACGAGGAACCGCGTGGGTGAAAGCCTGTAAAACTTCGGTGTTTAAGGGCACCCACATGTTCTGCGGCAATAAATGTCACGTGGCTCAACATCCGCCACATGGCTCAACATCCGCCACATGGCTCACCTTGATATGTTAAGGACATTG